GGGGGTGATATGTATATATTGGTTTGTGGGAAACAAATGTCCCCACAATGTACTAAGAACCTGTTATTTTCATGTTGTGGCGACCATGTTTTCGGTCTCCACAAGGGGAAGCTCAATTTTATAAAAAAATCTGACTGCAATCGAAAAACAAAAAAATACCGAAAGTATTTTGTGTTTTGTCTGGTTACTTATGGTTAAGGTTAGGGCTGGGTGGGGGTTAAGGTCGTCATTGTTGGGATTAGGGATTTTCCCTTAGAAATGAATGGACGTCCCCACAAAGATGTGAATAGAAGCGCGCGCACATGTGTGTGTGTGTGTGTGTGTGTGAGATGGAGAGACACCTATGAGTGAAATCAGTCACCTTTCTCCCAAAGTGAGCCCTGCTTCTCCGTGCCGTTCGGTGCTGGGTTACTGTAGGCCCGACTGCCTCCTTCTCAGACCTGACATCCCATCAGTGGGCTGGCCCCCGGTGTCTCTTGCCTGTTTTCTGACTGTGCTGTCCCCCCCCCCCCCCCCGCAGGAAGCCTTCATGGAGCTGTACGGCCGCAGGCGGGGGTCCAGCGAAGTGTGGCCGCACCTCAAGGCCGTCGTCGGACTGGTCGCCCTGGGAGTTGTCGGCGTCCCCATCGCAGCGTATATGATGCTGAAGTAGCAGAGCCTCCCTTCCTCGTATGCCGGGCTCTACCCACTCGCCCTGGCCCCCCCGGCACCCCTTGGCTTTGTAGCTTCATCCTACCCCCACCCCCCCAAAGGGCCTGAACCCACAACCTGCTGCGCTCAAACAGAGACACTCAGCACTGGGTTCTTCTCACAGTCACGCTGCAGGAGGTGAGATCTGTGGTGACTAATGAAGCCCGGATCCTGTAGGTGGTGACAGAATGAGGAACGGTGCGTGTGACACACTCTGTCATCTGTTTTCCTCTGGCTTTGGCCTGAATCTGCGACACGCTGTCAGTCCACCCGCTGCCGGTATGTCCCGGAATGGGACTGCGGGACGTCTTGTCCAAACCACACTGCCGTCACCCCGTCGAACCCCCAACACGCTTGCATGCTGTTCGGGACTCCCCGCTGAAGACCTCTCCTCCGATTGGCTGAACGACAGCGGTCCTTCACATTGCAGTGCAAAGGCCAATCGCTCCACATTTTTAAAAAAAGTTTTGTCTGTTTCCATGCCGATACTCCCTACCCCACCCCCACCCCCACCGGAGGGCCGTTGGACACGCCGGGGTCGCGTCAGAGTTCGTGGAATGCGGGGTGGGGAAGACGCAGTGTTTCCCGGGCAACAGTACAGAGCCACTGCGAGACTTCTGATGTTGGCGTGACAGACGGGAGCCTTGTGATTGGTCTTTTTACATTCCCTGTAAATCCTCTGACTTTTCTCTGTTTGAGAGGTTACTACTTGATCCCCATTCTGTAGGTTAACTACTTGGGTGCATGCTTCATGTGTGACCTGCATGGGGACAGGGCCACAGGCCAGAACCAATGGCATTGAGCCCTGGATCCTGCTAGGTGTTAACAAAGGGCCTTTCAGCTCTCTCCTGTGCTCCATGGAGGGGGGGGGGGGGTTAGGGACAGGTGAACAGGTGTGTCTCTGACCCGTACACTGCCCCCCCCACCACTGGGTTCCCAGAAGGGAAAATCAGTGCAGATGTCTGTGGAACATCAGGTCAGAAGGTTCTCATTAGAGCTAAAGGAAGGCCTTTGTTGGGGCACTGGAGATTAGCTGGGATGGGAGGGTTCTTGGAACGGTCCGGAGCGAGCGGGAGCATTCCAAGGCCGTCTGTGGGGGGGCCTGCAGGTGCCCCCCATCATCTGTTCCAGTGATTGTGTTCCTCTTTGTTTAATGATGCTCGATATGAGCTGCCATGGCATTTGAGGGACAGCAGGAGGATGGGGGGGGGGAGATCTCCAGCTGTCCATCCTGGGTATTCTCCAGTCATGCCCCCCCCCCCTCCCGGCTGGACATTTGGGGTCCTTGAAGCCTTTAGGGGACTCTCCCAATTCTCCCAACTCGCCTGTATTGTGCTGCAGCAAGGGGACCGTCGGCAAGGTGATGCTGTGGCTCCCAGCGGCTCCTGTCCTCCTCGCCTGTCGTCCTCGCCTGTCCCAGCATGATCACACCGGTGTTACGCCATGCAGGTCCTGCCGTTCGGGGGCCGGTAGCTATGCCAACGATCTTTAATGTAACCTTCAGCTACGACCATATATGCGAAGAAGCCTGCTTTGTTATGATGTTAACGACCCATAATGTGTGTCTGAGATGTAGATACTGAGTTTGTATTTATGTGTTTGTTTTAATTTGCCGCTGAGAATGTAGGGTCCTTCATTTCCAGGCACCAGCCCACATAGTATTAGCAGGAAGTTCATAAAACAGCAATGGGCAGAAATACCAGCACCCACACACGTATGCAAACACACGCACATATATATATATATATATACTGCATATAATGTGTGGCTGTGTACGTGTGCTTATACATGCAGTGTGTGTGCATGCACGTGTGTTTGTCCACGTGATTCTGTCTTCATGTGTTTGTGCATGAGTTGTGTGTGTACCGGTATTTCTGCTTGGGGGTGCGCATGCATGTGTACATGCTTGTCTGTGTAACACATGTGTGCGCATGTGTCCCCACTTGTGCTTGTGTGTTTGTGTACTTTTGTTTGTTTTTGCATGTGCACGTGTGAATGCGCATTTCTTTGTTCGGATGTACGTGTGCGTGTGTATGTAGTGATTGTAATTTGCATTCCCGCCTGTGGGTGGCGCTCAACCTTTATTACGAGAAAAGTGTAGGTGAACTCCTATGTCTTACCATGGGGTTGATGTTGTCCAATAGCACTTAGAGACCGGAGTGCTAGTTCCTGTACAGGACCCGTTTTGCACTGGGACCCAAGTGCCACTGTTCTACTGGTTTATAAAAATGTGTTCAAATAAGCTTTTAGTTAACACCAGAGACTAAGTGAAATAAATTGCTGCTGCAGAAACCAAGAATGGAGGTTGGATCAAAACCAATGGGACATTGGCTCTAGAGGACCAAGGTAAGGCGCGTCAGAACACAAGACCACCAACAACTGCAGATTGTTCTGTATCTGTAATCATTCCTGTCTGTATTTCATTATTAATTCTGTATTTAATGCCATTCAGCGTGATACTATTGTAATATCTTCACAATAGAGCATCTAACATTTATCCATGTCATAAGCTACAATGTTCTGATTAAACAAGATCCTGACAAATGGATTTTTCTTGTCAGTTTTTACAGCCTCCAAGTAGGATGTTTGTCAGCTTCGTGTGATCTGTGCGTGTGTAAGTGCACGCTTATGTGGGCATGTGTGCTTGTGGACTTGCGTGTATTTGTGTGCAGGTGTGTCCATTTGAGTGTATGCATCCATGCATGTGTGCTTATGCACATATACTGACACACGTGTGCCTGAGTCCATGTGCGTGTTTGTGTGCATGTGTATATATAAACTATATGGACAAAAGTATTGGAACACCTGGCCATTTAACCTACAAGAACTATTATGACATCCCATTCTAAATCCATAGCCTTCAAAATGGAGTTGGTCCCCACCCACCTGTTGCAGCTGTAACAGCTGCCACTCTTCTCAGAAGGCTTTCCACAAGTAGGAATTGTTGCCCATTCATCCAGAAGAGCATTAGTGAGGTCAGGCCCTGATGTTGGACGTGAAGGCCTGGCTCACAATCTCCATTCTAAGTTCATCCCAAAGGTGTTGAGGTCAGGGCTCTGTGTAGACCAGTCAAGTTCTTCCACACCAAACTCACGTCTTTGTGGCACAGTCATGAAGGAACAGGTGAACAGGTGTGTCTCCAAACTGTTCCTATCAAATTGGAAGCATAGAATTGCCCAAAATGTCTTGGTATGCTGAAGCATTAAAAGTTCCCTTCGCTGGAACCAAGGGGCCCAGCCCAACCCCTGAAAAACAACCCCATACCATTATCCCTCCTCCCCCAAACTTCAGAGTTAACACAGTGCAGTCAGGCAGGTAACGTTCTCCTGGCATCTGCCAAACCCAGACTCCTCCATCAGACTGCCAGACAGAGAAGCGAGATTCATCACTGCACAGAACACATCTCCACTGCTCCAGAGTCCAGTGGTGGCATGCTGTATACCACTGCATCCGACGCTTGTCACTGCACTTGGTGATGTGAGGCTTGCATGCAGCTGCTCGGGCATGGAAGCCCATTCCATGAAGCTCCTGGAGCACAGAGCGTTGGCGACTTTTACACACTATGCACCTCAGCCCTCGGGGACCCGAACCAACCAGTTGAGTCTGTAACGTTCTGTAACGTTCTAAACCCAACCGTTTGGTTGAAACAAAATGTTAGTCTGGATTTTCCTTTCCGGACCACTAGTGTGGTGTCAGCCTTGTGCGATTCCTTTGGCTGTTTCCCAGAGGACCCTTAGACTGGAGCCGTTCCTTTCATTTCAAGGCCTCTTCTGCCTTATGACTCAACACTGCCACCTTCAGGGTGTTTGCAGCCTCTGTTTATATCACAGCTTACTAGTGATATAAGTACGTCAACTTAGCTTTTTCTAAAGCATAAGTAAAGTATGAGGTAAACAGTATGAGGTGAAGTACTGAGGCCTGCAGGAAACGCATGCAGATCACTGGCAGCATAAACACATACATACAGTTTATCGTTAAGAAAACGCCAATAATTGTTTTAATTTCTGGGGTGGCAACAGGGTGCCCTGTGGGTGGGGCAGTGGTTATCAATGTCGCCTCACACCTGCAGGACTCAGATTGGAGGTTCTGCCAGGGTTCCGTGTGTGGAGTCTGCATGTTCTAGGTTAATTGGAATTACCAAAACGTGCCCTGTAATGGGTCGGTGTTCTCGACCTTGTTATTGTCGCCCCTGGTGACCCGGAATAGGAAACCGTTTTAGAAAATGGATGGATGGTATCTTAATTGCCAAATATTTACTTTGTGGTTTGTCCTACTGCTTATTGTGTTCTCGCATACGCTCACGCAACTATATTTGTACATGCAGTGTCCATCAGTCTCATTCCTCCTCTCCTCCCCTGTCTATCCATCCATCTCTCCGTCCATGTAAGAAATTGCCAACGTTATACGTGAAGACTGCCTTAAAAAGCCGTTCCTGAAACCAGAACAAACAATACCCAGCACTATTTTGAATACATTTAATTTGCTTTTTACATTTAAATAATCAGATCATGCACACAAAGGCCATCGGTGCCTTTCTCATGGACAAACGGTTGTTTTAGCGTTAGCGTTAGCCTTTTCAGACAAGGTGGTACTTTGGTAGCACAGCGCGTTCACATTACCCCTCCACAGTTTATTTGGTATAAAAACAGACAAAGTCTCAATAAATGTTCAAGAAAAAACCCACCTCCCGTCATTGTGTTTGACAACATTCACATGCCAATAACATTCATTCAATGAAAGTACCCATCTGACACCACAGTACAACTTACACAAGAGGAAAAAGCAAACGGTAAACCAAACTTACGTTTTCGTACACGGAAAATACACTTTTATTCCGGTCACTATTAACCTTTTATTTACAGTAGAAGGAACCTGTTATTTACACTGCAGCAGGATTTTTTTTAAATTACCTTATGCATGCTTTGAGTCCATCCAACACCAAACAGGTGGCTTTCTACTCAAAAAAAAAAAAAAAACAGTACGCAAAAATAAAGCTTTAATATTCTTTCTTCACAGCATGTCAGAAAAATCCTCAGTTAAAAAGCAACCATCTGACTATTAAAGTTCAACTGGCATCCAATTTTGGTTTAAGACCTTCAACTTCTGCTCAAGAACAATGTATGCGGGAACTCTGTCACATGGGTGCCGCGTGAAGGGGATCGTGGGAAATGTAGTTCTTATGGGTGCCATCATTACGTCACCACGTCTTCTGGCAGCTATATTGAAGAAGCAGCTCATTTTCCCCGGGCTCTCGCTGCTCTGAGCAGAACAGACTGCCCCTCCGGTGAAGATGACACCACCACCGCAGCTCCAAGGAGCCCCGTGACACCGTTACGGGGGATGGGTGATGCTCTGGTGCACGGTGACCCCTCCCCCCAGCCGTCCACCCTGTGGCCTGGCAGCAATGGCCTCACTTCCCAGCGCGGCGTGGCCTCCGCCTAGCCTACCACCCGTCCCAGACACCCCACGGCTCTGCCACGCCTCATTCGGCTCCTCCCTCCTTCCGGCTGGTGCCTTGGGAAGAGCACAGACACACAGGTGCGTAGGTCAGCCTCTGCCCACACGAGGGGGCGGAGTCTGTACACACACACACACACAGGACAGCCTTACCCTGCGGCGTCAGCACCAGGGCCTGTAGGATGTCCGACAGCGAGACGATGCCCACGATGCTGGCACCTTCGTCCACCACGACCAGCCGGTGAACCTGCAGGACGGCCGGAGGGGGGATTAACGAGGTGATTTACCAGCAGCCATGGAAGCACGTGACCCCAACCCCCTCCATAGCCTGCACTGCGTTAAAAACCACCATTACACTATTAAGTAATATAACTCAGCTCAACACAGTAATACTGCTACAGACACCAAACTGCAAAGCAGATACATGTCCAGATAGCCTCGAATATCACAGATACTTCCTTTCAAGCAATGTAGCTAAATTTCCTCTAGGGGGCCCCGGCAGCAGGACCTTCTGGGACTAACCCTGCTCCCCTGGCTCCCCCCCGGCTCACCTCGGCCCTGACGATGCGGTCCACGATGGTCTCCAGGGTCTCCAGCAGGTGGCACTTGACCACGCCCTCGAAGTACTGGGAGCGGTGCTGCAGCGCCTGCGTCACGCTCAGCTCCAGGTTGTTGTACGTCTTCTCAGTGGCCAGGTTCTGCAAGCGATGCCAGTCATTTCTCATCGGGTTTTTTTTCTTGGTTCCTTCTCTGCCGTGATTTTTACTATATTACTTTGCGATATTACTGGTTACATTACACAGAAATCCCAGCGTATGTGGTCACCCGTAATCAAATCGATGATAGTAAATTATTAGGAAACGACCCTGTCTTCAATCCCTATTGAGACCAAAAGGCAAAGTGCAATCCTATGCAAATCACCTAACAAAGACTGAGCAGTCAGGCTGCTACAAGGTAGGATGGTCAAGGAACTGAGTTATTCATCACCATTGTCTGGTTCCAGACCTTTTTAACCTTGTGGTTCCTGCCTGGCTGTGATCAAGCGTGGTTTATTGTCTTAGACTCTGTAAAAAGTGTGGTATCACACACAAGTTAAGAGAATAAGGTTGAGAAGGCTGTGTGTAACATCTACTGAACCAGCGAGCATCATCCGCAGATAAACTCAATCCTCCCAAAGAGAGCGCCTACGGTGTGGTTCACTGCTTCAGGCCAGACACCTCTCGCGAATGCAGCTTCTAAAATCTCTCACTTCTATCAACAACATATCGAGATGCCTCGACAAAATATAAAGATGAAAAAAAAGTACTTACTATGACATCAAATTTGGAATAAATATCAACAACTTTCCCTGTAAGAAGCAATAAAAGCAGATTTAGGAACAAATCTTCCGAAAGCCCAAGGATAGAGGCGTAAAGCGTCTGACAGTTGCCCGCTGGCCCTCATGCCCCTACCTGAGTCATTGACGACAGGAAGGGCCGACACCCTCCGCTCTACAAACACGTTGAGCGCTTTGATGATGGGCGTGTCGGGGTGGATGAAGGCAATGTCCTTGTAGGTGCCGATGCCCAGCTCCCCCAAGGTACACTTCATAAAGGCAGGCGTGGGCATCTCGCACACCTGGGGCAGGTAAATCAGGAGGGGGCAAGAGAGTGCGTGGGTACAGGCCAAGGCTAACGCTAGCCAAGGCTAACGCTAACGTCGGTAAGCAGCTCGCGTTCTCGGAAGGGCCATGAGCAAAGGCTGATATTACTATGGGGGCCCCATGACAGTAAGTGGGGGGTTGAGGTTGCTGTTACACTAAGAGCACCACAACAGCGCCATCAGCAGGTACAGGGTGGGAATGTTTCAAAGGGAGGAGAAACACAGGGTGTATCAAACGTGTGAGCAGATAGAGGCGCGCACATACACACACTTTTTTTTTTTTAAATGACCTCTGAGGTCAGCAAAAGGTCATGCCGAGCAGTCATTTCATTTGCATCCACTAGGGGCAGTAAAATGTAACTCTCAGCCCACGACCTTTTGACCCACGAGTTCCAAAAATAAAAGCATATCTGTGATTCCGCCAGGGGGCAGCACTACCCGCCTCCGTCCCCGTCCCCCCCGGCGTCGCAGTGCGTAAACGAAAAGGGCGTCTCACTCACGAAAAGCTGAAGGAACTTGAGGATCCTCTTGTGGGTGAGGATGTAAAGTGCGTTGCCGGTGACGGGGTCTATGACGGGCAGCCGGTGGATTTTGTTCTTGATCAAAGACTGCACTGCGTCAAACAGGCTGCAAGACCCCAAAGAGCGTCAAACTGGGTATCTGAGTCACGGTCCCTGATCAGATGTTTATTCGCCTTATTTTGCAGCACTGACTGTGTTTGTTTTAAACCACTCAAATGCCTACAGGGATCTAACCAATCAGCTGCACCCACAATGCACCAAACCAACCCTGCCATTACCCATAACGACCCACTGGGTGTGTTCCGGTCTTGTTTTAGAGTAAACACGACTAAAAAAAGGACAGCCATATTGCCAAACAAACTCAACACAGTGCTTACACAAACAGATCTCATGGAGTTCCTGCAGCAACCTCATGTAGTGTTCAGAAGACATGGCGCAGAGAGAATCATTACCTGGCATCAGGTGAGATGTTGACTAATGGCTTAAAGGTTTCTTGAAGATAAAGCTCTGTAAGGAAGGACAATACATCATCAACAGCCTTTGCAATGTGACACTGGCCCAACCCCCCTGAACATTCCAGGTCAGGACTCCATGTTCATCCTAATAATAATAACAACAACAATAACAATAATAAAAAGACTAACCTCTCCAAGTCTCAATCTTATGCTCCTCCAGCTCATATATTTGTACCTGGGGGGATATTTATAGATACTGAAATTCAAAAATAGATCACTGTGAATACAGTTTTGTTAAAAAAGCATGAACAGTCATTCTTGCCTACACACATGCTCAATGAGAAGGTCATCGCTTTAGAAAAGCCCCCCCCCCCCCAAAAACGTACAAAAAGTAACAAAGGACACAAATGGGGAGGAAAAGGCTAAAAAATAAGCTTGGACTTCAATGCCCCCCCCCCCTTGGACTTCAATGCCCCCATCTATGGAGCAGCCAGAAATAGTCGCTCTATTGACACAACAGAGCGGGAGGTTTACAGTATATTTTTAACCATTGAGCATCATCAATCGCACCGAGGACGCAGGGCCTATAAAAGGGAGACTTTAAAGGCAGAGATGACATGATCCACAGGATGACGTGCGTGACGGAGCTGCTTTAAAGGGCACAGGAGCGGCCCTGCAGGAGGCTGTCTCACGTACCATAGGAGACTTGTAGTATCTCTGCAGGATGATGATGAAGTCGGTGATTGTCAACATTCCTGAGGGCAGGGAGGAAAAAGGGCAAAGGGCAGGGGGGGGGGGGGGGGGGGGGGTCACAGATAAATATTATGCACCCAACACACCAACAACCAGGCAGAACCAACTCAGATCGTCAGTAATTAGACTTTTAGAGGTTATTTAAAGGAAATGCCGCCCTCTACTGGCCGAAATACAATATAAAATGTTATATTCACGGGTACTTATCCCATAGTAATGAAACTATGAATACTTCACCATATCACCTAGACTGCCCTTTACCTACTCAGAGCCCCAAGGGCTCATGGGAAATGAGGATTAGACACGTGGAAGCAGAGAGGAGTAGGGGGGGGAGCATGTCGTTAAATTAAATCATAATACAGGAATGTTGTTCTAAAACCTGAAAACAGATGACTTAGCGGGAAGGAATTTGGAAAGTGCCAACACAGGGATTAGAAAAATGAGCTCTCACGGGGATTCCATTAATAGGAACACATATGCCCCAGGTGGTGACAGATGGTATAACAGCACAAATTTTCTTCATTATTGTTACTCACAGAATCGTTTGGCTATTGAAGAGCGACTGCTGGAAAGATGGCAATGTATAGGCTGAGTGAAGGGTGACCACAACAGAGAATTCCTACCGAGGTGCTACAATTACAGAAGCATCACTAAGGAAATGGATGATCATTAACCAGCAGTGTGCTGGCGCGTAGAGAGATGCTGTAGAAACAGCGCGGGGAGGACGTCCGGCCTGCATACCCACAAAACTCTGCTTCCTCGTCTCCCACAGCGGCGCAGCTCGGACCCCGTTGGCCACCAGTGCAAAGAAGGCCTTCTTAACCTGCGGCAGACGAGGAGAAAGATCACCTTACACGTCCCATCCTCCTGAAGATAACGTATCAATTTTCCCCGCCCGTGTTCAGATCTATTCAGAAGTCCGTTTCGAAATGTTTTACTTTAAGAAAACTGACACTCCTTAAGGACGACACACTTGCACCGTAACCTGGGAAACGCGTCCAGCTAACTAACCCACTCATCTCCATCTTCAGGTGAACCCAACTGACTCGGTGCCTTTTCGATGGCATGGCAACCTTCTGCACCAGTTACTTAAAAATCGGACTCAAACCAATGGAGGTGTGCAGTTCAGAAGAACGTCTACATCCGGAAAGCATGCAGGTTCAAATCCCACAGCGGGCAGAGTGATATCACTGCTGGGCTTTTGAGTAAGACACTTAATCCCAGCTGCTCCAGACGTGCTGGATGTTGGCTGACCGTCATCTCTGGCCACATGCTTTCTTCGCTTGTACTTCGCTTTGGTAAAAAGCTTCCGCTAACATAAAATGCAACATCACTCTTCAATACATCCACAATGCTACCACTATTCCATTTGTACGATTAAAAAAAAAAAAAACTCTACAAGGAAAGCATGCACTAGTCAAATAAATGTGACCACAGGAGCATTAGATCCAAGCTCTGCCTTTAAAAGGCCATTAAAGAATTAAATAGGGTCTGACACAGACACGAGCTGCCCCTGTAAATTAGCTCTCGAGTGAGTGCCATTGTCCCACTCATATCATCTCAAATATATATGAAGGGCTCTTTTCTCTGGAGAACGGCTTCGTTCAGGGATCGGGAATACGAGCATCTCTAGCTTTTGTTCTTGTACACGGACTGATTGAAATTTTACTGGGGGCGCCTCCTTTTGTGGGCCCCTTGAGACCGGCCTGCATTTCTACGTGGAGGCGGAGATCAAACGCCCCACCCGTGCACTCCTTCAAACGCAGACACGAGCCAGCCGGAGCAGGGGGTCCGGCAAGAAGCTGGAGGGAGCGTCCGTCTCGGAGCCATGAAATATTCAGCGCCGTCGGCCAGGCACTGGGCGAGAACTTCTACGGCCAAAGGGGGAACGAGAGAGAAAGGAGCTTCCAGAGAGGCTTCTTGTGATGGCGACTCTACACGCGACTCTACACGCGACTCTACACGCGACTCTACACGCGACTCTACACGCGACTCTACACGCGACTCTACACGCGACTCTACACGAACTGGTAAACCTTCCTGCTGCCATACGCCAACATTGAAACGAAACAAGCAGATTTCAATTCAGCTTCACGGTCACCTTCTGGAACAAAACTGAACACAAATTAAGACCTGCACTTAGGGGCAGAGCCTCCCAGATCTGGCACCCAGGACAGCATTTTCTTGTGAGCAGAACTTTATATTAAACCATTAGCAGAGCAAGTATTACACTGCAATACTACAGAACAATCAGTTGTGTTAAAAAGTGGACATATCAATAATCAAAGTCATGCTATGGACAAAACAAAGTCTATAAACCAGCAGACCATAGAGGGAGCTACTGTCACATGACATTGTCACATGATGCTGTCACATGACTGTCAATAACATGATGAGCCAAAAGGAGCAGAGCAGTTCTTCACAGGACTCCATGACTTTAATTCTAATTCAGGTCTGAGAGAACGGCACTAACAGACCAGCTAGGCTCTTCTGCAAGTCAGTTCAGTCAGACCTGCAGCCACCCCTTTGTTAAGAGACAGCTCTGCTGGAAAGAGGGTTACGGTGAGTCAGCATGAACGTGTCGTGATTTTAAGCATCTATACAGGCTGCTGCGAGCCACCAGCATGAACGCATCACACATGGCCGATCGTAAACCGACACCATTACCTACCTGCAATGTAGTGTCAAAAACGACCAGCTTCGAGCTGGTCGGAACGATATCATAGCATTTGTGGGATTTCATAAACCGCATGTAAATATCACTCTCTGGCTCTTCAACAGCTGCAAGAGGAAAAAGAAAAAAAAAAAGGAAGTTGTCAACAAGCATAAATTCCTCGAGTACGCTGAATAGGGTTTTTTTTTTGGGTCATCACAAAATACAGGAATTCGTACAATGATCAGAATCTGTTCTAATAATAATGACATCACATCTTACTGAAGACAGTCGCTGATAAATGGATTTATAAGCACTTTCCTGTAACACATTACAAAATAGCCTGATGTCACGCATAAATATTGTCAGCATCTGTTCTTTACGAAGAAAGGCTGGGTGCGATTATGTTAAGACAGTCACAGAAAGCGTGCCGTGCAAATCAGGGGAGTTTGACTGCAACCCCCAGCAGCATCAACACTACCGGAGTCTCTGTATGTGAACACATACATGTTTGGATATAAACACTGAAATGTCTTGCTAGGTGTTCAAGAGCCTGGGGGGGGGGGGGGTTGTTTGCTCTGCACTGCGAGGAATGCAGGGCTCACTGGCGCTCAGCCAGCCTGCCTCAGGCAACGCCTCAGCTGGAGACAGTGCGAGGGGGGCCTGTCCGTCCGTGTTAATGCCTGAACAGAATGTGTCACGTCAGGGGCATGGACGGAACAACCAGAAAACGGCATCTTTCAAGGAAAATGACGTGGAGCCTCAAAGCTGGACTGGGAACGGGGGCTGATCGAGGTTCTGCTTACCAAGCACACATGAGCATCACGCTAAAGCCACGCGTGTGCTTAAAGCCGAAGCCAAAACACGACCTGACCAGTCCGGCTCAGAACCTGCATCCTCATTAATACGTCCATGGCTTAAAATTCCCCTCACACCCCTTGCAGACTTTCCTGCAGAACAAGTTCAGCCACCCCGCTGTGGAGGACTGCAATAAAAAAAAAAATCTTCATGGTAAACCTCATGGCCCCAGATCAGATGTACTTTTGACTTTGCTCTAGAAGGGTGCATTTCCACGAGCCTGACTCAGACCGGGTTTGGGAGGTGATCTGGCATCCCTGTAGCAGAGTGCCTACTGAATAATATTTAACGGAAACTGAGCAGCTTCCCTGAAGCGGCCGTCAGCCTTTCCAGCGGGCCCGCCACACTAAAGTCAAGGATCCAAGTTGATACACAGAAGCCCTCCAACTGATGGTAATCTGTAGAGTTACCCTGGACTTTTTACAACAGCACTGAGGGGGAACCACAGTCAATGGCTGAAAGTCCACAGCTTTGATGTGAGGCGGATGAGGGACAGTCAGCGATCTAATAGGCTACCCTTCGTGAAGATCCACCAATCACACAGCAGTCCTAAAACAGCAGCTGGTTGTTGGCAGGTATAAATAAACTGACAGTTTCATTGCTTTGTACTTGATGGATGTGTTAGGTTAAGCACCATACCTCTCCCAGGATTGGAGCAAACAGCCTTCAGGGTAAGGTCACGCCTACCCTCTACAAACACTTCCCAACATCGGTGCCCATTAACCCTGACACAGCCCTGAAGCACTGTGTTTTACAGTAAGCAGTGGTACTATAGATTGTGAGTCTGTAGTTTGACTTATGTAGGAGTAGGTTGTCCTGTACACATAGTGTCGTGTGTGCGGTTTAGGCAGTAGGTGTGGTTATCGAAAGAGACACTTCCAAATGCTGCATGTATCAAGTTCCAGAACGGACACTAGCGCGTTAACGCTTCACAAATGTTAAGGCAAGACCTAAGGGTTTTATGTTTAGAAAAAAAATCACCAAAAATCACCCCCAAATTTAGGTCATCTAGTACTAAAATTGCACTAATACGTCAGTTTATAGCAGTAGAATTCCAGAAGCTTAATCTTAAATTTGTAAAGTCTTGGCAGCAAAACAATACGCCGATTCATTTTAGCGAGGAAATGCGATTAGCTGCAAAATTACTAAATCAATGCCCTCAACAAAGGATTAAACTTCCATTTATCTCAATTAAAGAAAATGACCCTTATTCGTAACACAATGCTTTTAAAATGCCATATATATGCTACCTTCTCGGATCTAGGAACATTAAAGAGAAGTCACGGAGAACAGTGTGTCTCATGATCTGCTGAATAATGCTCTCATCCCCTTATTATGCGGGTCATCTTCTCTAAACCGTATAACCAGAGCGCAGCATGGGGCTGTGCGCTGCAGTTTAGACTGGAATTAATTACGATAAAGGTGTTTTATCCGCAGCGCGGTCCGGCAGCGGCGGACTCCCGATTGATGGCGATGTCATCTGATATGACGTGGAAACGCCTCCTGGAAGGGAGAAATCCCACTTTCCCCACAACCAAGGATCCCATTTATAAACAAACACCAGCGATCAGGACCAAAAAAATTAAGGTAATTTAAACGTATTACTCCCAGCTTTAAAAAAAACGATTTAAGAAAACGCGTGCCGTGTGTTCACCATGCAAAAAATAAAAACGTTTAAAACAACTTTAGTAATTTACATAAACATAAGAGAATATATTCACTGAAAGTATATTCTACAAATAATCACTTATTAGGAACGATTACTGTTCAATATTGACCCTCCACAATAATACATTTACAATAGTACAATAATTTAAAATACTGCAGTTGTCATTCCTATCATCAGACTATACGTGGCCAGCCAGCCCGAAGGTCTTGGATCATCTGGCGGTTTTTAAAACATGAATGACTTAAATTGCATCTCAGCCAGATCAGCCCGGTGTACTAGAGGAATCCCCTCCCGAAGCGTCACCCCGCGCGTGAGCTATGCACTGACGGTCATTCCCGCGGTTAACCGCAAAATTAACGCTCTCTAAAATCATTAGTCGCTTTTCCAAAACACACTAGTCGTATAAGGTATGTTACAACGCGATCGGCGATAGCGTTAATTCGATCATTGATTTTTTTCCTCCAAAATAGCAATACATCCTCATTAATATCGTAAAGTTTGCATTGATGCACCAGATACAGCAGGCTTAAACTCACCTTCATCTAGTTCAAGTTTTTCCAGCATGCCTTCAGCCGAATCGGGAACCTGTAGGTAAGAGGCGGGGTACAGAGTCAGCATTCGGTCAGGAAGGTTTTGCCCCCTCGGACAGCCGGACAGCCAGGCATGCGTGGGGGCGGACAGGAAGCCGGCGGACAAAGACGATGCGGATACACGCTGCTTTTGATGTCCAAGCAACAACGCCGCAAATCATTTATTCAAGGCGCACACCGTAGCCAGGACTCCAAACTCATACATTTAAAGCCAGCAAGTTCTTAAAGTGAAAGTGCCGACTGATGATCCATACCTCTCATTTATACGATCAGTACAGCAGATTGATTTTAATCCGGCGATCGCAGCTTTTGAAGGACAAATCCGGTGCAGGTGATATCCCTTCCACGACTGTTCCTTACATGCTCCAATACGCGCACATCGTACAACTTCATATGCAAAACGAAAGTGCACGGACACACATACACCCCTCGTGCAATCAGAGTGGAACATTCCGTTTCCATTTTGCTGCAGTAACGGCGAGATCCCCGGGCCCTGCCATAGGAGTGAAGGGGGGTGGCACTGCCCGCGCCGCACGGGAAACCCCTTTTCTCATCTCATTATTAATACGGCCGCGGAGAAGTTCAATGCAGGAATTCCCGAGCGGGATGCGTCTTGGGCTTCCCTAATTCTCGTTTACGTTGGGCTTTATGTGGCCATTTAATGATTATCAACAATTTCCCTTGTTTTCATTATAAATACGGCGGTGAAGCCCCCTTTTCCTTTCCATATAAGGAAAACCCCAAGGTTGCCTAGCAGCAACAAGCCAAGGATTTCCCGAACGCCCTCGCCGCATTACATATCATTAGTGTATGAAAATAATCAGTTATTGGTTTCCGAGGATACCTCCTTGTGGAGCGTGTATGCTATTAATTTAACACTGATTACAATGCATGCATGTAAGTTTAAAATATGAAGAGAGCAAAACGGTTCTCTCGAATCTGTGTCTGACATAACGAAGCTTCAGTCCACCGTTGCAGGTAAATGTCAATTCAATGTACAAGATTAACGCAGTGCCCGCATTTCGTTCTTTGAATTAATATTCTATCACTCGAGTCTTGATTGAAATTAACTGGCAAGACCAGCATTGAACTATGTTATATGCTAGGACTCGATACAAAACGATAGGTTATATATGCATCAGATACCTGCCTCACCACGAAAGCGCAAACATCAAACTCTGCTTATGCTTAATAGCTTACTAAATCATGACAGTCTTCTGATAAAGAAAATATAGCTATAATATTACACTATGGAAATTCAAAATCGTGTGTGTGTGTTTTTTTGTGGCCACGTTTTTGTGGGGACATTTTTCAGGCGCAAACAATATAAAACAATTTTACAAAAACCTCTGAATACGGTCAAATAGCTAAAACATGCAAAAGTCTCGTATTTTGTTTGGTTACTTATGGTTAAGGTTGTGGGCTGGGTAGGGGTTAAGGTCGTCATAGTTGGGATTAAGGTAATGCCCATAGAAATGAATGGAGAGTCCCCACACTTGTGTCTGTGTGTGTATACAAATGGCATTAAATATGAAATCCCAGCAATCAGCACTGTACCTGAAAGCCCAGCTCCCATTATAAAATGCCTCATATTTGCTCTGGGACAATCCCTCCCTCCAGCATAACTCAGTCATGGCATCCCAGGCATCAGCCAGTTATCTTACTTAACGCCCTAGCCGGTCCTCTGGGAGAGATCCGTCAGGATTTCCCAGATGCAATCTACAGACGACTGCGCAGCGGCCCAAGGGGATTGGCTACGCTACGCTACATCCACGGGCAGCAGACCGGGGGCTTGGAGGCGGCTTCTGAGTCCCCAAACTGCTGACGCCGTCAACCCTGGTTCTCTTCAGTATTTCAAAGGGGAGCCACAACAACAGTGCCTGGAGCCCAGAAAGACTATGGTGTCTCACTTTTGCTTTAATGACTCTGAAATCAGATAAAAAAATCTGCAATCCAACCACAAGGGGGAGTAGCAGTAACTAAAAAGTGTTTTTAAGAGTATCAAGGTAGCATGTCGACCGTATGTGAATCAGGTGAAGTCTTTTGGTTAGCACTCCGTGCACGTGGCCTTCTCGGACCACGAAGCCAGCGCCGGAACAGCAGTGACACCAAACAGACTGGTTTGGTTTGCAAAACCTGGAGAAGAAAACAAGCGACTTCCTTCGAATGTTAAAGCTGATCTTTTCCTCTGTGCGCGTCGACGGGAAGCTCTTTCGCAAATGGGACACGGGAAATGAATTTCCGGCTCGCCAGTCAGACACTAATGGCAGACGGGCAGACAAAGGGATGGCGATTCAGCGAGCAGAGGCCTAACCGAGAACCTGGGGGCATTAGAGAAGCGGAAGGGGACGGTGGTATCACCTACAAGTCACATCAAACCAATGGGGCTGTGTGCATCACTGCAGGTTAATCAGCCCATTCAATTCAATTTTTCATATGACATCTTTCACAGCAAAGTCTCCCCAAGGCACTTGAGAAGGGTGTGTGGCAATCCATTATAGGATCGTTTATACAGAACGGTGAATGGAACGAGGATAAAGGGAAGACCAAAAGTAAGAAAGACAGAAGACAACGCCCATGTGACATGATACCAGCCAATGGCATTTGTTTCCCCAAATACATGCTGGGCGAATACTTACCAGCCGGCCGGCAGAGGTACAGGGGGGCCGCTTGGTGATAGGGGGGGTGGGGGGTTGGCCAGTGTCGGGGGGCGGAGCTTGCGGCATCTCAGGTTGCTCTGCCTCCTTCTTCGCAGTTTCCAGGGGGAAGGTGGACTGTCTGATGGCTTGGGTCGGGGTTGTGGGGGGAGAGGTGAGGCTTGCAGCTGTAGAGGAGAAACGCAGGCCAAGGTCACCTGACCACAGAGCATCACATGACTTGACAGGTTCACACTCGTTTCCACCCAGAGTTGATCTGGATGGAAGATGGTGCATCTGGGCATAAACAGATAATTCCTTCAGAAAGGGGGACCACTGAGGTGTAAACAAAGAGCACATCGAATTAGACGTGAAGGTGGAAAACCGGCCCTGAAGCGGAAACGACCCACATCAAACCTGCGGGGAGAAAGGATTTTATGATGTTCCGTTTTGGTCATTAACACTCGGCTTGATGGCTCGCTATCTGCCACGGCAAATCTTTGGCTTATAGCTTAGCGAAAAGCAAGAAAGGGGTCCGTATGGGCCCAGAAAGGCCAGAAAAGGTCACACTGCTAAGGCAGGATCCGCCACGGGTCATCAACAGCCTTGCAGCACTTCAGCCCACAGTGAGAACCGGACATAAGGGTTGTGCTGCACCAGACATTTCAGCTGAAGCAACAGTTTCTCCCTGCAGAGCCTGTGTGACCAGCTTTGGCGAAAATCGCTGAACTGAACGTCACAGAGAGCGCCGCGCCGAGCGCCCACCACAGACATCCCGCTGAGGCACTGCCTCTGAGGCAAGTCTCTGCCTCTGATACTCCCGTGACATCAGAGTGATGTCACAGACCACAGATGCACCTCCGTCCATCACATACAAGGGCTTGATCACCTGTGCTACTGCAGATATAATCGGGGGGGGGGGGGGGGGGCAGTATGAACCATCGGGGTCAAACCATACCCCTACCCCCCACTTCATAAAATTTAGTGAAAGAGGATCCAAGGTGACATTTTATCAGGAGGCCCAGAATTTGCAGTCACATCCCTGGATATAATGGATGTATATGTGGAGGAAGGAGTCATTTTACTTATATATTTTTTTTATACAGCTTATATAGCTTTGCACCACTAGTTTATTCCGATCGTGTGAATATTATAATAATTATAATAATGAGAGTTCATATTTTATAAGTCCTGATATTTCGTCATTATTGAGCCTTGGCGTTAACTTCCTTCAACCGGAACAGCCAAACAAACCAACCCACCTCAGGGGATTTTCCCTCTCAAGGAACAATTTTCCACTTTGCAGATGGAAAAATAGCATCAAATCGTCAGTTTGGGGCTTCTGAGGAAACGGAACATCAGCATCGGTGACACCTTCAGCTGTAGCTCAGGCGTAAGGTGGCGTATCAGAAGAAACGGATCAAAGCCTGACGGCTCGCGGGGATGTCCCCGTGGCTGAGGTGGATTCAACCACCTGCATGGCCTTGCGGGCTGTTAGCCACGCTGCCGCTCAGGCTGAGTGATGGGGAATCGCAACGGGGAGACTCACTTGCAGGACCTGTAAGGAAAGTCCCACAGCATCAAGAGGCCAGGGAACGGGAGCCAGCTGGTTTGGGCACTGGACAGAATACTGCAGCTGTCCCATGAGAAGCTGACCTGAACTGCCCCATTGAAATATACACCAGGGCTGGCAGTAACATCAATAAAAATCTTCATGTCCTGCAAAAAGGGTTGGATTTCCTTTGGAACGTTCCCTGGTGTCACCTTATTGCCACATATCTGGGATCCCTGTATCGACTAGCAGAACCCTGCTACCCGCTGCTGTAGGTAACCATGCACCGTTTCCATGACAATGCCTCACCCCCCCCCCCCTCCTCCCCCCACACCATTTCTGACCCAGTTTCAGAGCCGGGTTTCTGGGAGGTGGCATGGACCCGACGTTGACGGGGTATGTCTCGACAACTCCGGACTTGCGGGCCGCAAATATCGACCTGAATGTTTTCCCCGAGTCCATTCGCCGCATCCGAGAACGCTCTCAGAGGCTGTCGAGTACCATAAACTGCGGTGGGAATTAATGTCTTCCTCTCTGGGGTTTGTACACGGTAATGCTGCAATTTGTCATTGGCAGCGAAGGAATTTGTCAGAACTGATCTGGAAACTAAAATACTATATTATATATATATATATATATATATATATATATAGTAATAAACAAATGCACAACACACCCAAATGTTCCATAACAACTCCATTAAATTCATGCTACTGGATTTATGAGAATTTAATACTTACTGTGCCTTGCCCCTGTGTTCTCCCTCTGGATGTTATGCATTTAAACTACTTTAGTTTCAGCCTTACGGATTGTGGAGTGTGCCGCTTGCCGGCTGGTTAATCACTCATCGGTAAACACGGTCACCTACTTGACGGCTTCTGTTTTCGATCTCGAGGGATTCAATCGCCCGGCCCTTTTTGTTTTCCGATTTCTTCAAACTGCAGTGGAGAGGCGAGCATCCCGTCTTGATCCCCAGTCAAAATTCGTCGCGTGGTTAGTATGACTGTGCAGGCCCGGGGGATGGAGGTTCTGGAGCGTGTGACTGCGCGCTCGCGATCCGGGACAGAATGTCCGGACGGCTCGGCCAGGAGCGGCCGGCTCCTCTCCGCGCACCTCTGTGTCCCTGCTCATATACCGTAACGCGCAGATCTTGCCAGTCTTCCAACCCTGCACTTTCGGTCAGACTCCCCGGTATGACCTGCTCTCGTGGCCGCATGGACCAGCGCTGTGGAAGAAGCGGAGGACGGTACAGCTTCCCGTCGTACTGATCGGTGCAACATGGCCTCCCGGCGTTCATTATATGCTTAAAATTACCCACTAGAATCACATTACTCTCATCATGGTTAAGGACAGCAGTTGTACTTCTAAGACCAATCTTCTCACTTGTGGTTAAAAATATCACTCCCCCCCTCCTCTCTCTTTCTCTCACTCCATTTTTCTCAGACACCAAACCCCAGCGACCTTCCCACACCGCGAACTGGCCTCATGTTGTGGACTAAGATGGCCCCGTCTTCCTGTTTAAAACATCAGCCTGGTCTTTCTGTCAGCGAGGTGGCAGTGTGCTTCAGAATAGACTCCAGGTGAAATTCAGGGCAAGATCAGGTTAGTCAGGACCCAGAAAAAACAGACTGGACACAATTTACGGTGTAGACTTCTACTCTGGGGTCTTGTTAAAAGTGCTGTGATCCTCCATACAAGTTTCCCAGTATTAAGTCTCCCCCCCCCCCCACCTACCTGGGCTAGGGGGCTGCAGTGGTATGCAGGCCTGTCTGCATGAGTCTGGGTCAGAGCCACCAATGGGTAATGATGGCACCTGGTAAACCAATAACCTCTTAGTCTGCTGCCGATGTCCCTCCCCTATACCATGGCGACCAACAGGAAAGCCAATAGGAAGCCAGCACATATCTCGCACTCTTGTCTGGCTCCAGTTAAACCTCTGACATTCCCTTTCCTCTGGGGCACTTGTGAGGAACATTGTCTAGCCGGAGAGGACTCATCACGCCGAGAGATGCAGGAACCCATTCGGGGCCAGAGTGACAGGACTGAAACCTCGGCCCCCCTGGTTTTAGGCCACGTTCTCTCATGACGGTTCAGCACGTTTAACCAGACAATGGCAGGTCCTTACCGCCCATGTTCCCTCCCGAATGCTGGGTCCCACCCTGACGATATGCAGGCGCATGGAGAAGAACAGGCCAGCACAGAGTCCGGAGTCGTTTAACCAGCTGCTCGTTTATTAGTTTTCAGTGGAGCAGAACCATCAGGAGATGGGCAGTTGCTGCGTATCAGTGTACGCAGAAGTAATTTGAATGAAATAGGAAGATAGGAAGCCATTTTGGCCTATTTATCATTTGAACAAGTACGAGAACAGGTACAGAAGAACATATTTTTATTACACACACACACACACACACACACACACACACACACACACAGATGAGAGCAAAGCTTCCAGTCTGAGCACAGGGTTGTCCATCCACCCAG